CACACACACACACACACACACACACACACTGATGGTGATAAGCTCCAGCCACAGCTGCCCTGGGGCACACTAACAGAGGCGGGACTGCCATACACCGGTGCCACCGGACCCTTTGACCACCATCAGTAGACAAGGCGGGTGAAGTGTCAACGACTGAGACAGCTGGAATGGGGGGGATCAAACCCGACCTTCCGGTTCCAGGATGACTCTTCTAATCTATCCGCCACAACCACCCCAATGGTTGCCCCAGTGTAGCAACAAAATCCCACAGAGAGTTAAGATTTGACATGTGTACACACCCATGTCTTAGCCTGCCGTGACGTTTGGTAAGTTGTTTAAAATTTGTTTATGCCGCGATAATTATTGATACAACTTTTTTTCTGCAAATGCAAAGTCTGAGTAGAATGAGTGGGGACTTCTATCACTGGTGCTGAACTGAGGTAGGTAAAAACTTTTGTAGAGGCTAAGGGTGGTGCATGACATTTATTCTTTCTATAAGGCCCTAGATATTGTTGGACTGTCTTGTCATTACTCCTTTGTGCAACATTGCCCAGTGATCAGGAATAGTGTCTTTGATTATTTACTTTTGTGCATGCAACCCATGCATAATCAATTAGGGCTGCAACAGCTAATTGATCAAATCAATAAAAAATTGATTATTAAAAGTGTTGGAAACAAATTTCATTATCAATTTGTTGTGTTGGGTGATTTATGATGGTAATAGTTTAATGATTAAGCATTAAGTTTTAATTTACTGACAATTTCTGTGTAAAGACACTTGCCTTAACACTGCAAATAAACAAGGCATTTATTTAATTATTGTAATAAACAGCTGTCTTGACTGAAAGTATTCTTAACATGATCGTCACTGACATGATAATGTCCGTGGTCAGAGATAAAAACTTCACTATGATAGTTCAAACTTTTATTTCACATTACACTCTTCCCTCTGTAACACATTTTACAAAGCTCATGGAGAGAAAATATGAAGAGACTTTCAAGGATATAGCACACAATGGTGTATATTATTGTGTACATTTGTTTATTTACTGAAGCTATTTGACAAAGATTTACATATTTATGCATTACAATAAAATTTTATAGTAACAGAATTCTCAAACAGCAAACAGTTTTTTTTTTGTGAAATTTGCTATGTCAGTCCAAATGTTCTTTTTTGGAAAAAAGTGTTTGTTTGTTTTTTATTTGTGTGTGTTTTTGATTGAAGAAAAAAATTAAACGATTAATTGATTATTATAATAATTGTTAGTTTCAGCCCTATAATCATCCATTTTCCATTGGGTCGCTGGGGCAACAGCTTAAGCAGATGAATCCAGACTTCCCTCTCCCCAGCCATTTGGGCCAGCTCCTCTGGGGGAATCCCAAGGCGTTCCCAGGAAGCATCCTAACGAGATGTCCTCGATGTGGAGGAGCAATGGCTCTACTCTGAGTCCCTCCTGGATGACCGAGATTCTCACCTTAAGGCTATGGCACACTGCAAGATTTTAAAACAGTCGGCCGATTTTCAAAGACTGAGAGAGCCCACACGCCGCTATCAGCGGACAGCAGCTGTTTTGGTGAGCTGACAGTGGAGGAGAGCGGCTAGCTGACCAAACCCGGAGCTAGGAGTGCCAACATGCCCAGGAGCAGCTGTTACAACCTCAGAAATTTATGGCACTTATTGTAACATAAAATCAAACAATTAACCACTTAAGTTGATGTCAGTAGAAACTGAGTTTATTTTACAAAAAATAAAATAAAATAAAATAAAATAAAAGCACAGGGAAGCTTTGAGCTTCAGGGTCTCCAAGGCCAAAATAACAAACAAAACACCCCCTTCTTTATACAAAATAAAACGGCACTATCTAAATGTAAACAAAAAAAGTACAAGGGCTGAGCTCCCTGGCCTTCCACAAAACAGGAGAAAAGGTCTGGAACAAAAATGGCAGAGAACCCCTACCAGCTTCCCAGTGAAGACAAAAACACATCCACTTTTAGAATATACACTTAATGGTTCACACAGTAATTGTTCACATTATGTTTAAAATTCAACTTCACCACACAGACAAGATCACTTCAGATCAAGGCCCAGGAAAAAGGGATTTGACATCTCTGAGGTGAAGTTCTTTATGGAGTGGTAAACGAGCAGCAACACATTTCACCTGTGGCAGCCAGGTAGACCTGAAACAGAGGAGAAAGCTCTCTCATGAAGAGAGCCTCTAGAGGTCAGTGACCTTAACACCCTCCCCCATAAAACCTTTCACAGAGCAAGAACATTACTCTTTAAAGATATATCATACTACAGTGAGATAATCATTACATCCTGGACAGCACATCAGCTATCACATTTTCMACTCCTTTCTTATGTCTGATGTCCAAGCTGTATTCCTGGACAAGTAGAGCCCACCGCATCAGTCGCTGGTTGTGGCTGTACATGCAGTTCAGGAATGTTAAAGGGTTATGGTCGGTATAGACTAAAACAGGACTTGTGGTGGAGCCTACATAAACATCAAAATGCTGCAAAGCGAGTAGCATGGCTAAAGTTTCCTTCTCTATGGTGGAATAATTAAGTTGATGATGCTTAAACTTAACTGAAAAGTAGGAAACTGTGTGACTGATGCCATCTTCTCCATCCTGTAGCAAAACTGCTCCGGCTCCAGTTGCGCTTGCATCCACCTCCAGTTTGAAGGTCTTGTTAAAGTCTGGAGCTGCCAAAACAGGGGCGCTGCAAAGAAGAGACTTTGCACAGTCACATGCATGTTGACATTCTGTAGTCCAAATGAAAGGTTCCTTTGGACTACACAGATGAGTTAGAGGAGCAACCACCATAGAAAAGTTCCTGCAGAAACACCTATATGCCAGGTTCAAGGTGAGGGAGGCTTGGGCTAAACAAGCAAACACAGCTGTCAGTGCATTAATATGATCAGTCCAGGATGATAAATAGATTACAATGTCATCCAGATAGACATTAAAGTTCCTAACATCACCAAACACAAAATTCATTAGTCACTGAAATGTAGCAGGTGCATTTCGCATCTCAAAGGCCATTACTGTGTACTGTAGGAAATGGTCTGGTGTGACAAAAGCTGAAATATCAGAAGCTCTGGAAGTCAGGGGTACTTGCCAGTACCCTTTCAGCAAATCGAGTTTTGTTATATAGATACTGTAGCTGCACCAATGATGTCAATGCAGTCTTCCATGCTTGGCAGATATGAATCAGGAACTGTGACTGCATTTACTCTTTGAAAGTCTGTACAAAAGCGAGAAGAACTATATGATTTTAGTGTTAGAAGACATGGAGAGCTTTAAGAGCTATGACTTGGTACAGCCAAACCATTTTACAGGAGGTACTGTAACTCTTTTTTGATCACTTCCCTCTTGACTGGGGGGCAACGGAATGCATGCTGATTAATAGGGGATGCATCACCCACGTCAATATCGTGCTTCAGTACTGAGGTCCTAGAAGACACATCTCCAAAAAGAGTAAGGTTTGTTTGGATCAGGTTTTCCACATCTTTTTTTCATCCCTGGGGAGATATGACAGAAAGGCATCTAAAGCATTAAGCATGACAGAGTTTGACAGCCGACCACATTGATCTTCACACTTTTTCAAACCATCATCGTAGTTGCTAGGTCCAGACACAAGAGAGATTGATGCGGGCTTTGGAGACTCTTCACAACACAAACCTTTATGGTCATCTTCTCTGGAATGAAAGAGTTTCAACATATTTAAATGACATAGACAAGTTTGGCCCCTGGTAGGGTCACCCAAGGCAGACAGGTCCTAGGTGAGGAACCAGACAAAGCGCAGCCCGAAGACCCCTTATGATGGACATTAACATTGGATATGGCGTTCCCTCGCCCGGACGCGGGTCACCGGGGCCCCCCTCTGGAGCCATGCCTGGAGGTGGGGCACGATGGCGAGCGCCTGGTGGCCGGGCTTTCACCCACGGAGCCCGGCCGGGCTCAGCCCGAAGAGGAGACATGGATCCCCCTTCCAACCGGCTCACCACCTGTAGGAGGGGCCAAAGGGCTCGGGTGCTGTGTGAAATGGACGGCGGCCGAAGGAGGGGACCCTGGCGGTCTGATCCTCGGCTACAGAAGCTGGTTCTTGGGACGTGGAACGTCACTTCTCT